TAAAATAGAGGCCGAAACGTTTTTATAATATGTCAGTGAGCATTATAAAATTACATTATGCTGTTTCTGAAGTTTGAACGAAATAATTCGTTATAATTAAAAAGATTTTCTCAATCTCGTGCCGTTCTCCATGTGTGCTGCATTAAATCCTACACGAATGTTTCCTCGGAAAAATACGCCTTAAATGGTCTGGGGCAATTGTGATTCAACCCATAACCCGAAAGACATTTCAAAAGATGTACATACGCACCGCAGAAGACTGCGATTACTATAAGCTCCATGGAAAGCACAATGCCTGGGTCAACTACGAGTTGGCTGGAAATAAGGCACAGTCAGTGCAACAGGAAGCTAAGTTCGAAAATGGAAAGGAGCTCGCAAAGGGTATCATAAAAAAAATCTTGAAAGTTTTTTATCTACAAGCAATCCGAGAGGACCACAGGTGAGTGTTGGAACCTTGACCATGGCAAATGATAAAATAACCAGCACAAATAGTCAGGGTTGAAACGCTAATGGACATTTTAAAAACCGTCTGTCGCCTACCTCCAAGCGATATCCGGGAACTCATTTTTGAAAACAAGCTTCAGGTGCTAACCGCATTGGAGGAAGGATTACTCGCTGAGCTCAGATGCTGTGCAAGCATAAGTTGGTGGTTCCAGATGGGATCCACCCAATTATTGCCCTGTCACTAACTGAGGTCATACTAGGACCTGCCACTGAATTGATCAAGTTGTCATTAAATTTTGGGGTTGGACCAGAGTACTGGTGTAAAGCCACTGTCATAAAAGTATATAAGGCAGGGTCTAGATAAAAGATAGCTAACTATAGACCGGTTTGTTTAACATCAGTGTTAGATAAAAAAAAGTGGAACGAATTCAGGCCGCAAATTCGTGCGCACCTGATGAACAATGAACGTTTAGCCCATGTACAGCACGGGTCTACTAGAAATCAATCCTGTTTAATTCATCTCCTTATGTTTCTTGATGAAACTATGTATCGCCTGAATCAGGATAGGGTCGTGGAGGTAGGCTACTTAGACTTCATTAAGGCTTCTGATTCGGTAAGTCTTACGCTTCTTGATAAGACTCTACCAACTTTAGTATAGTCTGGTTGGCGCGTCACTGGTTAAGGCAGTTTCTTATCAACCGTACCTTCATTGTGCGGGTCGGCAGCTTCACATCAAGATCAAAGAAGGTTATAACGCAGGGTTCTTGTGCCCGTCTTTTACTGATTTTAATTAATGAATTTAACTCATTCCCCGCTCCGTGTTTGCAGAAATGTAGGTTGCCCGGGAAACAAATGATCTCCAAAGGTATGAGGCCTCCGACCCGGATGGGCTGTCCCCATCGGTTTTTAAAGAGGAAGGTTCAGCCTTGGTCTTGAAGTTAACGAAACTCCTGGGCTCTGTGGGAGACAAACAGGTTCCAACTGAGTGGTCCGAATCGGCCATCATACCGATTTACAAGAAAGGTAACAGATTCTGTTGTGAAAACTACAGGGAAATCAGTTTAATCAACATTGTCTTTAAGCTTCTGGTTGTTGTTATACTCACTCGATTGTCTGCCGCACATGAGCGGCGCACGCATAAGAACCGGGTAGGTGTTAAACCTGGTTGAGGTCGCGTAAAACAGATCTTCACCCTTCGTCAAATTCTGGAAAGGAGACATTCGTTTCATAGACCCACCATTTCTATCTTCCTCAATCTTAAATCGGATTTCGACTCAGTCGACGACTATAATCTGGCACTGCCTCGCTCCGAAGGATGTGCCCGAGAAGTATTACATTGCATTTATACTAACAGCCGAAGCGGAGTCCGAGCTTACGGCACTTTTTCGCCCAAGTTCATCATGGGGTCACCTTCTTTATCTGTTTCCGTGTAACTCTGAAACAACCCTATCCTCGCTCGAGGATAGCAGCATCGATTTGCTNATTTGCTGTCAGGCGGTAGACTGTCAGAGGGTTCCGCTTCAAACGCCGGTTTCCCCCAGACTCAGTGATTGACGAGATCTCAGAATCTGCACTCTATTCCGTGGTAAATTGCTTACAGCGTTTTTAGCAACCACCTTTTGAGAGCGGTGTCCAAGTTGCTTGAGGTACTATTGGGTGCCATAAACGGGCAGAAGGTGAAGGCGGAGTATGGAAGAATTAGACAAAGGTAGGAATATCTGAGCATTAGTCCACGTATCACTACCCACATCAACATCACACAGTGAAAAACAGAGATGTGAACTTCACTGATCGCTGCCAAACTCGCAATGCATGTGCACTGGTGTTTGATGGACGGATACTGCTAGGGTATCCAGCCACTAAGCAGAAGAATGATTAGGGTTCTCAACCAAAGCCTTTAGTTCTGACAAGAACCTAGCCGCAAGGCAGTGGGTGAAGTTAAGTGGAGGCCAATTTACTTGGATCAATTACTCCACTATTTTTTTACCGAATGAAACGCAAATTCTAGTCGAACCCCCAACCTGGAGACTGGACTTTATCTGACCTCTATTCGTCCACTTCCAGGCACGATAAGCTCTTCGGCTTGATAAAAGCCATCCTGTGTAGCTCGTTGGGTCAGAGAGGTGCACAAGCCATCACACTCCGTCAACATGCAGTCTCTTATGGTATGGTGACCAAACTTCAGCCAATGCTAGCTGTTCCTCGATGAAACGGCTTTCGATCACTCCTGAAGAAACTGGATAAAAAAAGCTGCCCCAATGGGATTCACCCAAAAGTTCTTGCATCTTGCTGTATTGTCGCACTGGTAGTGAGAAATGGGTAAAACACTACAAAACTCAGGAGTGTTAGAGGTAGTGTCGATTCATAAAAATGGTCTCAAGGAAAATGTTGAAAACTACCACTACTTCCTCGCAGCACTGTTAAAGAAAGAAAAATATACAAGGAAAGCACCAGCATACCACCTAGTCACAGGACCTTCTGGAGCCCTCAACATCGGTTTGACATGCCAGCTCGCTGCAATTCTTTGACTGTATGACAGTAAGACTAAACAAGGGCGATCAAGTAAAGGTATATTATCTTCCACAAAACTTTCGGCTCGGGTTATCATAGCCTAGTACCGACCAGTCTGAAGCCCCAAGCTGGGTGACGAGCAGTAGTGCGGTCACTAGAAGACTACCCCAGTAGCCTTTCTGACCCTCGAGTTGGGCTATAGTTTTTTAGTCAGTTCCATTAAACACCTCCCAAGGAGCTTGCACTTAAAGGTGTTAGTCATTTTTTCTCCCTTAGAATCGTCAACGAAACAAGTGCCGTCGGAGGTCTCATCTCAAACAATATTCCAGTTCCAGACCAGTTTGGATAAGGTATAGCCATCATTATTCCTCCCTTCCTTCAAGGTTCAGTTTCCCCTTTTTGTCCTTCGTTTATATCTTCATCTACCTTTAATACCATTTCCCACTTCTTTCGAATTCAACTCTTTCGCTCTCCTTCCACAGTCTTAATATGATCGAGGGTGAGTGTCTCAGATTGTGACTGGTCACTTTTCCCGCTCATCCCGCGAAGCGCTCCTCCACAACCAAGCGTCTTTGATACTCTCTTCTGCGACACCCTACTCACTGCCTCCTTGTAGTGGAAGTGATTTCCCACCAAAATGAGAGGACGAAAAGCCAACATCCGGGGCTATAACGGGATTGGTGAACTTTTGGTAGCTCACCTAGGGGAGTTGGCCGAAAGCCCTGATTCCAAACCAGCCGACAAGAAGCGTACGAACCACACCCACCCTCTCTTTCCTGATCATGGCATAAGTCACCGGATCGATTGGGCACCTTGGACGTTCGACCCCGCGCAAAGGTGCATGACTCGATGAACTGGACGCCAGTATCCAATGGACTGCGGTGTTTGCATACCGCCTTACTGTCCTGCGGGTCAAGCTTTGGTGAGCAGAAGGCTACGGTTGTAAATTCCCCAAGAGAATTTACCTGCACTGGCTTGGACAACCTGGAAGCTTCACCCCCTTAAAAAATCGCTGCACTGATTTGTTTTGCTCAGTCTGGACTTAGATGGGTGTAGAAACATTTAACATAAATTCCTGGATCCTAGCTGAGCCACTTCGGCTTTCCTTTGCGGAGTTCCCGATAAGGGATCTATGTAGGTACATGGGAGGTGGATTTGCCAAAAGGTGTTTTGGGGTAACCAGTAATTCCTGGGCGTTATCAAAGATCTTCCCCTTTGTCCAATCGCTCTCGAATTCCCATATCGCGTACCGTACATCAACGTGTCAACACTGAATACAGGCTGTTACGCCGCTGTGCCGTTGTTGTGGGCTTGGATGGTAGTATATCTGAAAGCAGAACGGCTTACCACTTCTAAGAATTCAGAAGAGAACTGTGGAGATAGGAAGGCCCTATGTAAGACTGCGATCAGTCCGGATCCGAGACCGCAAGGCGGAAGAATAGCTGACGCGTCCATAGTTAATGCCAAACTCCCGACGAAAGTGGTAAGTGGCCTGCAATGAGGCCACCGCGTATCTAGGCGATCACCAGTGTGTCAAAACCCTTTGTGGACGTACCGAAAAACAAGAGGTTCAAATAGACTCAAGGAGGTATGCGCCCGTCCTAGCCTTAGACAGATTGCGGTTAAAACTGGTACATAATAAGCAGAGTCATTAGTTCGGGGAGCCCTGGTATGCTTAGCACCTAGGCCTGTTGTACTCCTGGATTATCTTCTTGTTTTCTGACCAAACGAAGATCATTCACTGTACTAGCTGGAGCTTCAGGTATTACTTTACCGGTTTTTGTTCTTTTTGGTCAATCAAACAGGGTGCCTCGGTTGTTTTCCAGCGGTTTTGCCCTTTTACTTTGATAAAGTAGCTAAGACCACTTGTGACATTTTATTTCCTGGTTACATGGTAATGTTGTGGGAAGTTTGTTTCGTGGCTTTTTTCTGTTACTTACAAGAGAGCCTCGCGATAATTAACAGCCCACGTTAATGATAACATGAGGTTGCATCTACGTTAGTACCTGGTTAACAATCCCCATTTGTGCTTCTAATTTTCAGACATGTCTACAAAAGCCCGGCGCCGGTTGATGAATGACTTTCGCAAGATCCAACTCGATCCACCCCCAGGGGTTTATGCTGTCCCGTTAGATGACAACATTCTGAAGTGGCACGCAATTATCCTGGGGGCAGATGGCACACCATTTGCTGATGGTATCTTTAAACTCACCATGGAGTTTACGGAGAATTACCCGAACGTGCCTCCCACTGTTCGGTTTGTCTCGAAAATGTTTCATCCTAATGTTTACGCCGACGGTAGTATATGTTTGGATATACTGCAAAATATGTGGTCCTCTTCATACAACATTGGAGCTATTCTCACATCACTCCAATCTCTCCTTGGCGATCCCAATCCCAATTCCCCGGCCAATGCGTCTGCCGCAGAGTTGTTCGAGGAAGATAAGCGCGAATACGAACGGCGTGTTCGTGAGATCGTTGAGCAGTCCTGGCGAAGCGATGATCCAATTGAACCTGCTGACTAAATTACATGAATGATGATCCCTTCCTTTGTACCTAAACATTTCTTCACCCGAAATTGTTGCATTACGATGTACCTAGGAGTTCATTCTTGGGTTAGTTGAACAGATTCCCATCGTCAGTTGTACCAAGCGGTAGATCACGTGACCATACACATGCCAAAACTTAGTTGATTTTTCATTCTTCGGTCTTGCTAAACCATATCCAGCCTAAATTGTATTCTTGAAAGCACAGGTGTGAGTGATAGAGACCGGGGTTAGAATGTTTCATGGGCCGAGAGGCTACTGAGACACAACTTTCTCAAATTAGCTTCACACTGGACACTGCACAGACGTGTATGAAGCTGCAAACGCCTTGTTTCAGTGCATTGCAACATGAGCGAACAAGAGTAAATGATCCAAGTGCAACGCTGAAATTCGACCAAACCCATCTACTATTGAACAAAATAACCAACTGCGTCATACCAGGACATAATCCAGTACTAAATCCAAATCCCCAGATCCACGTTGAAACACAGCATCTCCAAGCTAAATAAGTTGTCACAGACATGCAAACTTAATTTATCCTCCTCATGAACTGGGAAAAAATGAAGTAAACATACCAGTTCTAATACCTAAAAAACGACATACTTCATGTGACCAGTTGCGTACCCTCGTTTATTGTTGTCATTCTTTGACTGGTATACAAGAACGCAGGTGCACTTCTGTCTTGGGTCATATACCTTCATTTACGCAGCACAATTAGTTCGCAGATCGGCGTCAGCAAATGACTTACGTGCCAGCGTCTTTCTTTATTGATTATATACATATAGTATTTCACAAGTCTGAATCATGACTTTGTTAAGCAAAGCACCCTGGACGGGGTCAAACGTCCCGTCGATGCGGTGACCACAACCAGGAAGGTGGTTGTCTAGTTCGTACGCCTAACTTATCGCGGTCTTATGTGGCTTGCCACTCCAGATCCCTGGGCTTAGGTTACCGATTTCCAACAATGAACAACAGTTCCTCGCGACTATGCGGTTTACCCCGTCTGATGTTCATCACTAAAAACCTCTTCTTGACCGGTTGGGAACCAGGGTTTTCACCAACTCCCCTAAGGGAACTGTCGTTTCCCTACGGATTCGCGTCGCCCGTACTTGTTTTGGTTCGGTCTTGGCATGAGAGATCACTAGATTCACTTCTGAGAACATCCGTTGATTTGGTTGTGTTTACAAAAGCGAGCGATGTTCGGGGACTTCCCTCTATCGCTTGCTCCAAGATCTTCATAAACCTTGGCACTCTTCGGAAGCGATACTATTCTCCCAAATAATCCTTTAAATTTCACAACGGTGAGAAATTCGTAATACCGGACAACTCCAAAATGGAGCTAGGGGTTTTAATGTACCCGAGCTTTTTAACGGAAGTACTGACGAAAGCTCTCTATTGATACATTCATCATGAGGTAGCGTAAACCTGAAGTACCAACAGTTGTCGCAGGATGCACACGGTGCAATTCTGCGGATTTGAAATTAAAATGGTTCATATTCACTCAGCTGGGAACAAGCACAGAAGTAACAAAAATCGACGAAGTTAAGTCGGCCGCAGCAATGCACCGAATTTCACCGGCCAAACGAAAAAAAACAAGTTTGGAAAAGTCGACAAATTCAGTAGTGTGAAAAATAAAAACACTCCCCAGTATTCACGAGGACATAATTTAATAGGTTCCGAACACTTTAACCGAACGGTCCAAACTGGCTGAAATGAATTTGTTTGCGTTTTCTCCGAACCGGCAACCGGTGGCAGGTGCAGTGTGGCTGTTAAATAAGGCCAGCTGATCCCACTGTTTGCACAAATAAATGCGTACGTCGGATCCGGCAATTCCCAAATAGGAGCCGGATTGATCGAATTCAATATCGTAAATTTCGTAAGCATCCGGCTGATCTTCTCCCGGGACCTGTTCAATAAAAACATGCAAAGAATATTGTGTGAAATAAGCTTTACTTGCTGATATTCGTACACTTGGAACGATATAACCACGTCCCATCAACGGTATCACACACGTCAACATTATTCGGACGATAAATGTCCCTTGTTCAGACTATAACCTAACGCGGTTCAAACGACAATCACTAACCGAATACCGAGACGTAATGGATAGCTGGGCGGAGCAGCTCTTCTGAGCTGGTAGACTTTCATGGGGCACATTACATCTCCGATTTCCACCTATCACTGAACTCCAACCCGGAGCTCCGGGAAGCTGAAGCGTGCATAATCGGTCACGCCCCGACAAACCGCTTGATAGGCTAGCTGAACGGGGAAGATTATAACAGGAGACTTCGACGAGATGACAGAATGCTGTACTATAGTAGGTGAATGAGATCTATCGCTGATACATCTGCTTTGATAGAAATCCGCGCAAAAGGGAAATAAGCTTGTGTCGAATAAGTTCTTAAAGGACCCCCAGAAGAAACTGCACCAACACAACTCCGTCTTACAATCTGCATACAGAGACGCAGTGGACGGTGTTACATACCGAAACTTGGTTGCTGTAGAAAAAACAGGGCGCCTAATCAACTGCCCTTGTGAAACTGATCTGCATGTGCCCTCTAATCGGCAAGAGCAGAACTGTATGTTACTGAGCGTGTTCCAAGGTCACATATAGGGAACGGCCGCTGACTGTGAATAAGGCGGGTTTATTCTCACTGAATAAGCGGCCGCGGACGATCAACGAGTGCTCGAGGACGTGATGGGTTTCACACTTGGCAAGCGTTCCCCACACATTCACAGCACTGTGCCGTGGCGAGTGTGGCCCGTCACTGGCTACAACCATTGCCCCCTTGTCGAATTCGATCTACCCGACAACGTCTACCACATGTATACAATTGCCAAGCTCGGCGAACAACTGAACATTAAGTTATACTACCCGAGTTACAAAAACCACAATTAATACCGTTGTTTGCAGAAGTTTATATATATACATATATATATATATATATATATATATATATATATATATATTTCACACACGTCTGACGGCAGACTGTCAAACAAATCTTGGTACACCAAGAAAAATCAACGTTTCATGATTTGCATGTGGTCTGAAAACTGCCAGAATGCCTGGCCAAGACATGTGAATTTTCTTGGAGAATTCATAATCGGAGCCTTCGGCTAATCAAAGCCTAATCCGCAAGGCAGCGGGGCATTGTGAAAACTGTAACCCATTGGGGGGCCGGTTCATCGGATACACCTTTTGGACGGGGTCAAACGTCCAAGATGCCCAATCGAGCTGGCGACCACTGTAACAAACGGGAAGGTGTGTGGTTTGTACGCCTCATAGTTGGTTTGTAATCGGGATTTGGGGCCAACTCCCGTAGGTGAACTACCAGTGGTCCACCAACCCGGTTATAGCCCCCGATTGCTTCCAGAGTGGGGGAATGAACCAACCAACCGGTCCACGGCTCATCTGGAACAACAATGCTGCCCTGCAGCTCGCTTTTGGTTGCGCAAAGAGTGCACCCTTCAACGAGACCTACTTTGAAATGGGTGACCGAATAGTACAGCAGGCCACAATGCAGTTTCAGCTTTTACAACCTTTACCCACACACTTTCGTGCACCGATTTTGGTTACTGTCTTTAGTGCCACATTTGCATAAAACAGCTGAATGAAGATTGGAATATCAAAAGCAAATTCAAGCGGAAGATAGAGAATTCATATAGAAGTGATGGAGAAATAATGTGTGGATGCACGAACGCCACTGTTTGCGACACCTACACACTTCACTCATCGGTTACGAGCATTCCGAGGTCCCCAGCTAGGGAACCCAACGGGGCATATGTGACCTACTCTCCTGGTTGGGGTTTTCATACCCTCATGCCAGGTCTTCGTTTGACCACCCTTGATCTTTTTCCATTCGTTACCAGCCTTGGCAAAAATTGCTCGCCGAGGTAACCTATCTCGTGACATCCGTAACACATGCCCCAACCAGCATGATCTACGGAGGTTGATCACTTACTCCAGCAGACGACCGAGAATGCTTAAAACTACACCTAACCTCGGCATTGCTCGTCCGGTTTCCCCAACAGACTCGCGCAATGTTACGTATACAGCGGTGTTCGAACACCGACAATCTATATTTATCCAGTTCCCGTAATGGCCAAGTCTCTGCACCGTAAAGTAGAACTGGCCGAACTGCTGCTCAAGCAGCAAAACGTATCTACTTTCTCTGCAACTTACCCGGCCATGTTGAGGCTGGGGACTAGGCCCAAACAATATTGGAGCAGCATTTTACACTTTGAAGGTGCGAAACGTATGCTGAACATCGCTACACTAGCACTCAAACTATCCAGAAAAGCTTGAAACTTACCTGGATCTTCACTTAGTAGCACAATGTCGTC